TGAAAGAAGGCGACTGCCCAATGCAATCAAAGCTGAAAAGCCTGCAGCAAAGAAGAGCGAGTTCCTTGCCACCACCACTCACGAAACGACGGCCGCTACGAGGAAAGAGTAGGAGCCGGACTCCTAAGGCCTATGAAGGTCCTCGACAGCTAAAGCTGGAAGCTTGGGCCAGAAAGAAAGGCAACATTCGCGAAGCTGAAAGAATCGAGAATCTCGAGGATGACGACAAAGTTCCCAGTGCACTTTCTGCAGCAACTTCTTGTAAATAATGCTGGAGGGTATGAATATGCTGCAGACGCATCCTCCAGACAAGGTCTGCGACACCAACACCACTTTGGTAGGCAAAGACCGCGCCGCCTCCGCGGACAGATGCTGGAGTGATGTTCAGACTTGCAGGAACTTGGAGTGCCTTGAGGATGCTGTCCCAGCGTCGTCGGAAGCTTTGAGCACCCAAGGGAAAGAGCTTATCTTTAGCAGGAAGCTTAGACAAGACGCATTCACAAGCTGCTATCAAGCCAGGGTGCCTGACAACAACATGCTGTTGACGACCGCCGCCTCTGTTCCGTGTCTTAGGCGCGCTCACCTTGACAAAGAGCTGGTCCTTCTTGTCTGAGAGCAGGTCGGACGGGAGCACCAGGTCTGCTCGCGTCAGCTGCAGGACTTCCCCAATACGCATGATCCCGAAGAAAGCGATGAGGAGAAGGAGCCCAAATCTGGGCCAATGCCAGCTCAGTGCTACGGCAGCCATGGCTTCACCCATCTTGTGGGGTAAAGGTGGTCGGTGCACTAACGGCTCTAACTGTTCCCATTGAGACACCAAATTCCAGCAAGCTTTCGCATGATGTCTGAAATCAGCATAATTTCTCTGCGCGTACGTGATGAGGTGCCTGAAGGATGAAAGAGTGGCGCCGCATTCAAATAAATGAGCTCCGTACTCCTTCAAAAGAGCCGAAGTAGTAACAGAGCTCTGCAGTAGCTGCTCGGCCCCAGTGCAGCTGCAATGTTCATGGACCCATTCGAGAAAGCCACTCCAGAGCTTCTGCTCCAGACTCTGTGTCTTGGGCTCAACTAGTGGGACCTCTTGAAGAGAAACACCTCGCCGTCGAGCAGCTCGCGCCTCCGCATTGCCGACGCCAGGCCCTGGGTTGATGGCTTCACCAATCCTGTTGCATGAAGCCTTGGCGCATCCTGCAATATCCAGATCGACAAAGTCAGGTCGATCCCCAGCGGCAGCACTTAAGGACATGGCTATGCAAAGCGAGACTCCCTTTGGGTAAGCCTCGGCTTGCTTTGTCCATGTCAGGCGAGTCTTGCTGCACCTTCCGCGCAAGACCTGATGCCTGGAGCATCCTAGACAAAGCGTACGATGCCCTGCTAACCCTGTAGAAGTGACAACCTTGGTTCTCTTTCTCCATCTGCAACCGAACCTGCAACAATCGTAAACCCACTCCCCAACACCAGGATTCTTCACAAGCTCGACGAACTCCGGGAGAGCCCAGAGGAAGGAAGTATGTGGGTTTTCAATCCAGAAAGGAATGCTCAGTTCCAGTGCTGAAGTGCACACGGTATGCATAAAGGCGGCAAACTGATTTCCCTGATCTACTCTCTGTTGGGCCTTCTCCGGAATCCCAGGTTTGCCTCGCGGATAAGCATTGCTTCTGTATCCTGGGGTGATGGCTCGAGAAAAACTCGCACAGACTGGACCTCCCCCAACTCCCACAAAGGCTCGATTCCGAATCATATCCAGAATAGCCGCCTGCAGTGTTGGACGAAGAAGATCCTCTGAAGGATTATTCAGCAAATCATAGCATAGAATCCATCTGCCTGAAATGCAGGCTAACTCTCGTGCCACTCCTAGACTACCAGAGAAAAGATCCAAATATCCTCGATTCTTCAAACATTCGCTGTGTTCAACGCCATCTGGCCAAATGATTGTGCCGATTCCACAAGCTAAGTCTCGGCATGGACCTGGAAAAGTTTCTCCTGAACGAGTGTCGTCGTCGCCTGCTGCCGCGCATTGCCCAGCAGCTTCACGAAGTCGATCGGCAACCACTGGTGCAGCAACCTTGGAGAGCAATCTTTTCAAACTTTTTGAACGCATTCTACGTTGGACATGCACACGATCGGCTACTTCATCTGCTCCTGGATGCACGAGTTCTTTCAAGGACGGAACTCCGGCCAATGCAAAAGGATCGCAACCGTGATCGACAAGAAAACTGTCCAGCGGACCCACATCTCCTGAAAGCAATGGTTCATACCAGTTTGGCAAGTCTTCGGTTGGTTGACCCACATCTCTTCCCCTAGTCGGTCCATCTGACGGATTGATAGACGTCGGGGAGTAAGCCAATCCAGAGTAGATCCCGCCTCCAATGGTATGTGGAAGAGCGCGCTCGAGCTCCCTGTTCAA